TTACCCCCTTAAATTTGTTCTTTTGTTTTTTTATCCCCTTTATTGTTTTTTTCTTGTTTTTTTTCTTCTTTCTCTTTTTTTTTTTTTTAACACTGCTTATTTTTTTTCCCTTACTTTTTTTCTTTAAAATTTTCTTTTTTTTTTTCCAACTGCTTTTTTTCCCCCCCTTTTTTTAAACAAAAAAAATTAAATCGACATGATTTCTGGTTATCATCATCATTTTCCCTTTTGGCCGTTAAGTGGCATAGTGAGGAACATTTTCAGTCCATTAAATACTTACTGGTACAATAGCTGCTGTCATTCTTTTTCGATATGAGGCTCTTTAATGTTTATCAACCCATCATTTCCTTCTCCTGTTGCTTTCACACAATCTTTTCATGTGTAGCCCCCTGTTTTCACTCCAATACAGGGACCTGTATTTTCCAGAACCAGCCTGCTCATATTCCAACTCAGCCTCTATAAAAGTGATCATCCTCAATCAGCGGTTCCTTTACGAACATCGCTCTCCGTCACGTGCACTTGCATGTCTCTTCTCTATCCAGAGCACTCCAGCCTTGTGTGCTTTCGATACAGTGGATCTTCACTGTCTTGTAATCCATACTGGCGTCATGGTGGCCTCTGCCGTCATTTTCTGTATTTACCCTCCATCACCATTTTCCCTCAAACCATTGTGCATTTAACATGACCAAAATACTACAGGTTTCGGGACAGGATAGCTGTTTATAGGCCGATGTCTACTTGATCCTGACATAATAAAGAAGTTTGTCTTGTTTTTTCTTCTTGGTCAGTGGCATTATAAGATGTTTTTTTGTTAGCAGAATGTTTAAAATCATCTTTGGGAATGTTTGTAGCAGGTCACTGAATAAAGTAATTGGCCACCCCATTTCTTACTTCTTCTTCAAAATCAGAACTGCAGATTCAGAAAATGTGAGTGGCCTGATGATACAGGACTTGTGACCTATTGGTTCTTTTTTGTTGTAGCTGCTGCTTACATCTCACCATGATACTGCAGTTTTAGCGGTGGACCTGTTTGCGTTGGCACTTCTGGCGGCTATTTTAATACATTTAATGTGAATTTATATAATATTACCTTTTTCTGAGACTGCAGTCACAAGAGACAGCAGTGGGTATTTTCGGGTGTGGTTTTCGGACTGGCACCGGAATGAGTGATTATAGTGAATAGGATTTGACCCTGTTGCTGTGAATTTGCGAACTGCAGTTACCTGATTCTTCTCATTTTTAATCCACCTTTGGTTACATTTTTTTTTAAAAAATAAATTACTGTTTATAATTAGATAGAGAACTGAAATCAGAATCTATAATAATAGCTGATAACGTTGTTCAGTAATGCAGTTTACAAGTCTCTAGCTTTTAATTCACCATTTGTTTTTCAGTGTTTTCTTTACCAGATTACTATACTATAATTAGATAAGGATTTAAACCTGTAAATTAAAATCTACTAGTATAAGATGTTTCATTCCATGCTGTTAACTCCATATTTTTCACTTTTACTTTTAAAATTTTGTTTGCAGATTACTACCGTGGTCAGCAGACGTTTATTTTCCCCATCTACCTGTCCGAAGCCTTGAATCCTAGCGCTGTCATTTATGGGTCACCTCACGCCACTGGCGCTCTACTACATTGTCACTAGAAGCGATTTATTTGACTCTGTACTTAAGCAGCAGAAACTTTCGTAAGAATTTTGTCAACTATTTTTTGCCAGCTTTATGGGTGACTGGTAGTTTGCCCATTAACATCAAGAGCTAGCTGACTGGCATGGACGATCACGCCTCTCCACAGTCTGCTATCTTTCAGCAGCATGTATCAGTTTGTGTGCAGAACTCCTCCATGTCATGACAGCAGGCTGTCAAGAATCTGCAGGCATTGTCTTTTCTCTTTTTCCATTGATCTTTCGGTGGTCACAACATGTTCAAGTTTCCTTCTTCTCTCAACATGATCAGAGTATGATGGCTATCTCTTTCTTGTGATAAGTTATTGTACTGTAGATATTCAGGGTTCGTAGTGGACCGGGAAATCGGGAAATTACCGGGATTTTTTTTTCGTTGACCTTGAACAGTGATTTTTAGCTTATAAAAGACATTCCGACCTTGAAAAGCCGTGAATTTTGACCGCCGCAATGAAATCGTCAGAAATCCTGTGATTTTCAGCACAGGCAATTTTTGGGGAGCCCTTTGGCTTTTTTGGCCATTTGGCTAGTTTTTGGCTACTTTCGTTGTATGGTCGTTTCAGGTGTGAGGGCAGCTGATTATTGGCTATTTTCAGCCGAAATGGCTTGTTAAAGGCCAGGGAAGGGCGGGCTGTGTTGCAGATCATGAATACATGCAGACAGCAGTGGTGTGGCATGGGGCGGGAAGTAGCAGCTTCCATCTCGCGCGTGTGTGTGTGTGCCTTTGTTTCTAGCGAGTCGGGCAGAATGAACAGTATAAATCGTTTATGGCCGTGGTTTCTAGAATGGATTACATTGGGAGATGGTGGGGCTCGGTTCAGTTGTATTTATAAATAGAGTCGCTGTGGTGGAGGTTAAGCACGGCCTTCTCTGTTAATTAGAGATGGCATTGGGGCTAAGCAAAGTGACGTCAGCTGGATTTCCCAGTTCTATTTTTGGCCTGTATTTATCTTTACAGTGTGTTTGGCGATCAGTATTGTGATTCTCCGAGATTCCCTCTTCTGTTTTCTCACCCCTCTCTCTCTCTTCCCTCTCTCTTTCACTCTTCTACCTATTGCTCCTTCCTTCCCGTCTCCTGCATTGTCTTTAACCCTCCCCTCTGATCTTTATCTTCTTCTCTTTCTCTCTATCTTTCCTTTTACTCTCTCATTTCCTGTCCCCCTCCCCCTTTTTCCTATTTTATTTCTTGTTTAAATGTTTAGTAAATGTGCGGCTCCATAACTCTTCCTAGCAGCTCAAATACACAGGAAGTTGTATTGGGGAGGGGGGGGGGGGGGTGGGGGTGTCGTTCTGCGTAAACATGGTGGATATTTTCTTTTGATGTGTTTGTTTTCTTAGCAGGCCTTAATCTCTGTCCATCTCCCTTCCCGCACCCTCACATTTTGTCCTACCTGTTCCTCACTCTCTGCCTGTCTGTGTCACTGCTTTCCTCTCTCTCTCTTTCTCTTTGTATTTGCCGCTCTCCCTCACTCCCCCCCCCCTCACTCTCTCTCTCTCTCCGTACCTTCAGTTGGCGTAGAAGGTTATGTGTTGCCTAGTGCAGAACATTTCATGTCCACCACTCCCCCTCCCTCACACACACACACACACACACACACATTAAATATATGTGTACTTTTAAAAACACATTTGCCATCACCCCCGCCCCCCCCCCCTCTCCCCTCCCCTTTCTCCTCCCACATTGATGACACCTAGGGGAGGGAGTGCACCTCTTCCTGCTACCTTCTTTCCTCTATATCTCATCTTATTTCTTACTCCCTTCTTTCTCTCCATGTCTCATTCCCACTTTTTTTTCTTAAACTTTATTCTCTCACCTCCTCTGTCTCACCCTTACCACCTCAGCCTTCTACACCACTTTCCACCACATCCTCTCTCCCCTCCTTTCTGTAATTAGAAAACCAGAAATAAAACGAAGTCCACTGCTGCCCTGACCTATTTATGTGTGTGGGTAAACTTCTCTATTTTCCACCAGTGGTGGGTTGAGATCCCCTGGACTTTTTTTTTCTTCATAAAATGACCTTGGCTCTCAGGTCACCAGCCTTAAGTGTAAGAAATTGAATTATTGTTGTCACACACAGATAGGACAAGCATGGGGCAGTAGGGGTTAGCACTGTTGTTTATGGACCACAGCCACATTCACATTGGGAGAGGGTAGGAACCGGAAAAGGGGCCTCACTTAGAGATTTCCTAATTCTATCTTTGGCACTCAGTGTTCTTACATCCCCCCCCCCCCCTCACAACCATGTCTTACCTCTCTTCTCTCACCCCTTCTCTTTCCTTTGATCTTCTACTATTCTCCTTTCTCTCTCCATTCTTCCTCTCTTCCTTTCCTTGCCCTTTCTCCTGTCCCATCTCTTCTTTGTCTCCTCTCCATCCTGTATTTTCATTTTCTCTAGATTTCCTTACCCGCTCCCCTCTCTCATTCTCCCCCCCCCCCATTTTTTGGACTGGTTCATCTACATATTTTTTGCCCCATAACTATCTTTTCCTAGTGTTGTGTGTCCACTACACTTGAAATTGTGGGGGGGGGGGGGGGGGAAGTAGGTGGGGTTTCAGCACGAGGCTGTTTTTTTTTTCATTTGATGTATCTTGTCTCCCTTCCTGCCCCTCTCTCTTAATCTGTGTTTGTCACTGTCTTCCTTACCCACCTCTCTCTCTCTTGCTTTAAGTCTGTTTGCCTCCCTTCATCACTTCATCTTTGTATACCTCCCTCCCATTCTCCTGCTCTGCCTTTTTTCTCTTTGTTTGGTTCTCTCCCTCTGTCTGCTTGCCTCTCTGTGCTGTCCCTTTGTCTCTCTCTCCTTTATGTCTACATCTCTCTCTGCTTGCATCTGCTTCTCTCCCTGTCCGTTCTCTCTCCCTCCTGTCTCCCTTCTTTCACTCTTTGTCAAATTTTCCTCCTTCCATATCTCTGTTTCGTTCCCTTTTTCCTTCTCTTTTCATCTGCCCATCTCTGTATCTGCATTCCCTCTTTCTGTATTTGTCTCCCTCTCTGTCTTTCGCTGTCCCTTCCCCACTTTTCCTCATCATGTCTCCATCCCTCCCTCTCATTTTTTTCCTCCCTCCTTCCCCAGACTTCTTTTCCTTCTTTTCTCTACCTTCATCTGTCCATCTTTACACTGTCTCTCCCAGCCTACCTCAGCATGTGTCTTCCTCCCTCTCTGCATGACTCTCTCTCTCTCCCCCTAACCCTTTCAGGTACCAGGTCCAGAACCGACAGGACTTCAGTTTGCTGCCCTCTACCACCAAGCCCTAAAAAAATTTTCAGACACTATATCAAGCTCAGAGGCCGACCAACACGAAGATGGGCACAGGATATAAGTGACTCCTTGAGTATAAAAAAGTACATGAGACGGGAGAGCTGGTGAGAGACCGAGGTTTTTTGTCAGGACAAAGGAAATGCTACATGATGATGATATATGTGCTGGTATACCAACACATGTGGCACAAATGAAGTACATTGTGTGCTCAGTACACCCTTGAACAAGGCAAAAATCTTGTTTCAGTATTACACCGAGACAACCTTGAAAAAAACTAAGGAGACCTTGAAAAAGACCTTGAAAAGCCTTGAAATTGATTGGTAAATTTGGCTATGAACCCTGGATATTCCAAAACTCCTGTTTTTCTCTTCATTATGTTCAATTAGGCTTTTCTTCCTTGTCTCTTTCTCTCTCTCTCTCTCTGTCTCTCTCACTTCATTACTTTCCCTTTCTCTCATTCTGTCTCCCCACTTTCTCCCCATCATGCACATGTACATACTATCTTGCTTATTAATAATTTTGTCTTCCATATTCTTCCTCCCATTCACCAGCCGTAAACTCTGGTGGAAAGTTCTGGTCTTTTGTCCAATTCTGGACTTTAGTCTAGTTTCAGAAGTTTGGTTTTTGTGTGCACATCCATTTTACAGATCTGGCTTCTTTGTATGGAGACTGTTGGTTTCTTGCCTGTCAGGCTGATCTTTAAAAAAATCATGCCTAATTAGTTGACTTTATGGCATTCTGGGAGGGGAGGGGTGTGTTAATTATTTTTAGCCCCCAAGTAACCTTAGTTAAATAGCCTGCTGTAGATGTTGTAAGTGAGTATACATTCACGAGTGCTGCATGACTATTGCTGGTGACTGATAAGGACAATTTTGCTTGATCTTTTCAGAGAATTAGAAAAACAGAAAGAGGAATATGCAGAGAAAATGGCTCAAAGAAAAAGTGAAGCAGAGAAAGCTGTAAGTTGCTTCAGGCATCTTCAAATATTTATAACAATTATTTGAATTTATATAAAATTACAACATGTGAGAGATGCATAAGAAATGTGACGGGGAAAACAAGAAGAGACTTATGAAGAACTAAGAACAATGGTAGGCACAGTACCAGTAAATGATTGCATAGAATATCAAAGAATCAAATGGTGACTGGGAGCTCTTGTGTGGTTTTCATGTTGCTCTGCTCACGTTGGTAAACCTAGACTTCACATCTCATTCAGAAATCAGTGTCACTATGTTGGAGGTGTTCATGGAATAGTGTCTCTCCTATAGCATTAATTATATCCATTCTTTCTATTAAAGGTTGGCTTGCTAGGGTGCATTGTTTGCAAGGGCATCTACCCTGTCATTGTCTTTCACACCAGCAAATCATAAGTCGGAGATGAAGGGATGGTTCGCAAAGTTATTTCTTATCATTACAGGTTGTTGAACTATGACATGCTTGCCCGTTTTGGGCTCAATCACTACACTTTACCCATGAGAAAATATCTTCTCTTCCCCCCCACAGGTGGAACTGATGAAGGAAACCTTTGAGAGGTCGGTTGAACTTGAGGAGAAAAAGATGGGGTTGGTCATCTTGAAGGCATTGTACGGAAAGTTGCAGCCTGCAAGTGATGGGTAAGTACATTTAATTTTTTGTTTTTGTTTCTCTTTGGTAGATTTTTAGCCCAGTGAGTGATGCATCAGTAGATTGTAGATGCTAGTTACTGCCTTATTATCCCACTTTTGCGGTGTAGGCAGGGGGGTCTTTGAGGCTGAGGATTACGGCCGCATGGCTAGTGCTGCTGCCACGACCCGTGCAGGCAAGGGTTTTTATTCTGCTACCAGCAGAAAAAATCCCCAGCGTAACCAAGAATTCGAACTCAGGTCTCCCGTTTGAGAGCCCAGCGTTCTAACCATTCGGCCAGCTGCTCCACATCAAGCCCGGCAAGCCTCCGATATCCTGTTACTGTTTACTTTCCATGATATTTCCTTGTACCCATTTTAGGTTGGGTCAACCTTTGAGCCCAGATAAATGAATATATCAACACTCTCTAGGAGTGCAGTCTGTAGGATTAACTTATTGCTGTCAGAGATGAGAACCAGACATATTTGTTTTCTTTATTTCCTTAGCAGTCATGAACAATTGTTTTGCATTCTCTTATATGTTCTGTGTTCTAGACAAAAGGCATGACAAATTAATTTATTCTTCATTCTTCTTTTCATCACGTTCACTTGTTTTATGTTGAATTTGAATTAAGAATCGACATCATAGCACTCAGGACACTCTCATAAGCGCTCCATCCGCTATCTTCAGCAGCAAACGAAGAGTTCCAGCGCCGACGGCACCAGTAACTGTCACGGTTTTAAATTCCAGGAGACCTATTACACCCCCCAACATGTGTGTCATAAAAGTAGGCTAATTAGAGGTATTTCATCTGAAGTTAGAGTGCATCTGCCTGAGAGACAAGGAACTAAAGTCTACATACAAATAAGCCAGATCTGTAAAATGAATGTGAATGCAAAGCTCAAGTTCTTGAACAAGACTAAGTCCAAAAGTGGACGAAGAATCAAAACTTTCTGCTGGAGTTTACAACTAGTGAATACAAATAAAGAAAGTGAAACTCTCTTGTCAGATCTCCCTCCCACCTCATGTAAATTGCTACTGTTCTGACTGGTCCACCATAGCGCTTGATACAGCGAAAATATTTCAGTTTCTGAAGCAGGATGTTGTTTAATAGCCAGTCTTCCTTGATGTTCAGATGTGTTTAAGATATTAGTACTTCTTTTTTTCTTGGTCCATGCTATTCTGAGATTCTTTCTATAGCATTTCAGTTCAGAAGCCCTTCCCCCCCTTCCCCACCCATTTTCTTCCTTAACTCTTTCAGGCCCGTGAATTTGGACAGACTTGGCCCAAATTCTTTACTAACCATGATTTTGCAGCCACAAGAGTAGTGAATATCCAAATTTGAGAACAAAACTTCAAAGTTTGTTCAATTTCCTAACAAATTCCAAAGTTTTGATAAGTTTCTGGGTTAGTTTAGCACTTAGGGGCTCTTAGTTCTCACAGAGGGCTGAGCAAAATTTCAGAGGAAAAACGAGCCATCACACACACACTATTTACTATTTACTTTGTACAGTTATTTACTGAACAGACTGTAACTGCAATGATTTTAATGTAGCTTAGCCATAGTATAGTACAATTTCTTTGTTTAGAGCACTTTCATTCTCTTACCCCATAAATACGGTAGCAATGGGACATCATCTGTGTAGAAAAACTCGCCAGAATCACTAGACTCCAAACTAGCTGATCCCTCAGCTTCGCTGGTGAAAAATCACCACCTGAATCACTTTCTTGAGAAATCTAAATTTTTTATTATCATGATCAGAATTAAAAACATCTGACTGAAACAGTTTCAGAGCTTCGGCCATAGAAAGATGCATTCTGCGACCTGTACTTGTGGTGGGAACATTGGTATTCATGGCACTCAAAAACAAAATTAGAAATGCACCATTGAAAATAATTTCGCTGTAAATCCGATCAAATTACGAATGTGTGGTTTCTGATAGGAAAAGTATCTTAAGGATTTTGGGCAGAGTGACTTTACCTGAATAGTTTAATCGAACTTCCGAACATTAAAAAGAAGTACGGAGCCGTGTGCGAAGCAGTTAGCGTTGTTTGGGCAAAACGGAACTTCTCAATCAACGCTCACACCGTTGCTTGGGCCTCAAAGAGTTAATTACTGTAAGATAGTCCACCACTGACATCCATTTGTTGCTACAGAGAAGATGCATGCCTTCACAATTTTGGCCTTGATTTCCTTGCTTTTCACGGAGAAGTCATGATACATTAATGTCAGTTTCTCGGTACAGTTCTGTACAGTTCTAGAAGGCCAACCTGGACAACAAATGGCTGCAGATGTTGGATGTTTCAGCCGAAAGGTGCAAATATTGAGGCCATGTTGTAAACGGGTACAGTGCATTTACATCTTCAGATAAGCGCAGCGGAAGAAGAATTGTATCATTTCACAAACCATTCATGACATAATTCCTGCATCATTTTCTCTCATGTGTTCTGCATACAAAGATGGCCATTCAAATCCCCTGCATTGATTGTGTTTCTTTATGTGGTGTTCACAGAGAAGCCCAGGCAAACTCATGTATTGATGTAGTTATTCCATTACAAGCTTTAATCAAAGACTCCAAGCTGATTGTTCCAGAAACAGCCTCCAAGGTTTCTCTTTAAATTTATATTTTTATTTTTTTTAAATTTATTATTTGTTTGTTATTAAACTTATATAAGTGTTTAACAGTTCTAATATTCTTTGTATTATTACTAAATTTTTTCTTTATATAAATGATAGAAATTTGTTAGAAAATGTTAATATTTGTTAGTCGGTGTTAACATTTGTTAGACGGTGTTCATTTGTTAGACGGCGTTAACATTTGTTAGACGGTGTTAACATTTGTTAGACAGTGGTCATTTGTTAGTGGGTGTTAACATTTGTTAGACGGTAGTCATTTGTTAGTGGGTGTTAACATTTGTTAGACAGTGGTCATTTGTTAGTGGGTGTTAACATTTTTTAGACGGTGTTCATTTGTTAGTGGGTTTTAACATTTGTTAGACAGTGCTCATTTGTTAGACGGTGCTCATTTGTTAGACGGTGTCATTTGTTAGACAGTGCTCATTTGTTAGACGGTGTTCATTTGTTAGTGGGTGTTAACATTTGTTAGACAGTGGTCATTTGTTAGTGGGTGTTAACATTTGTTAGACGGTGGTCATTTGTTAGTGGGTGTTAACATTTGTTAGACGGTGTTCATTTGTTAGACGGTGCTCATTTGTTAGACGGTGCTCATTTGTTAGACGGTGCTCATTTGTTAGACGGTGCTCATTTGTTAGACGGTGTTCATTTGTTAGTGGGTGTTAACATTTGTTAGACAGTGGTCATTTGTTAGACGGTGTTAACATTTGTTAGACAGTGCTCATTTGTTAGACGGTGTTAACATTTGTTAGACAGTGGTCATTTGTTAGTGGGTGTTAACATTTGTTAGACGGTGGTCATTCGTTAGATGATGTTAACATTTGTTAGACGGTGGTCATTTGTTAGTGGGTGTTAACATTTGTTAGATGGTGTTCATTTGTTAGATGGTGGTCATTTGTTAGATGGTGTTCATTTGTTAGACGGTGTTCATTTGTTTGACTGTGTTCATTTGTTAGACAGTGTTAATATTTATTAGACAGTGTCGGTGTTTGTTAATCAGATGACTACTCTTTGTTAGAAAATGTTAAACAGTCGCATTATTTCTGAGATAGATGGAGACAATTTTTTAGTCATGATTAATATTAATGTACTGAAATGCTATGGAAAGATTCTCAGAATATCTTGGACAAAGAAGATGAGAAATATTGACATCTTAAAAGATCTGAACATCAAGGAAGATTGGCTAATAAACAGCATCCTTTCTTGAAAGTTGGACCAGGAAGGAGAGGCAGGGGCCGACCAACACGAAGATGGGCACAGGATATAAGTGACTCCCTGAGTGTGAAAGTGCATGAGGCGGGAGAACTGGCGAGAGACCGAGTTTCTTTTAGGCAGAATGTGATGAGAGCGACGTCCTGCAAAGGACCTGCTACATGATGATGATTAATATTTATTAGAGAGTTGAAGAATGTCGATATTTGCTAAACATTTGAAGACAATTTGTTTGACAATGTTGATATTTGTTTAACAATGTTAATATTTGTGAGACGGTTGAAGGTAATATTAATATTTGTTAAACAGTTGAAGACTTCAAAGACAATGTTGTTGAAGACTGCAGGAGTACTGAGGTTTTAGAACCAACACATCTATCATCATCTTGTTTGATTGACATGAATTATCTCGTCTTTTCAGAGTGGACTTCCTGGGTTTTATGATCCATTCATCGGTGAAGAGAAGAAATTGTACATCCGCTACAAGTTCAGAGGTCGTTTACATCAAGTGTTTATCTCAGACACAGAACCAGTCAGGCTTCCGCAACAAAGTAAGTTCACTTTCATTTTTTTCTTCCTTTTCTTTGTTTGTCATTTATTTGTTTAGATAAACAACATTCAGCCACTTCCTCGGAAGCTTTGGTTACAATTGTTGTATTGTTTGTTTTTTCAACCCTCTTAAACTCTGTGAACAAGGTGAAAATCATAATTTGTTTGTTTGTTTATTGTTCTTTTAAGTCTTTTTAGCTAATTACCTTTATTTGTCATATCTCATCTTACTGGAAACTTTAATTTCTGAATGTATACTGATTATCGCTCCTCTTTGCTGTGTTGTGTCTGCATATGTGGCTTTGTGTGATGCAAACACGCTTCTTAGTGCCAGCTTCAATCCTAGCTGCAGGCGATTTGGCAGCAATCAACCCTGCATTGGTTTCAGCAGTGGTATAGAGAGCAGACCGCTCAGAAAGCAATGGCTAACTGCTGAACTTAAATTTCCCTAGGAAATCGCAACAGCCAAATAAATGTTGGGGTTGTTTCTGCAATCTCCTGTAAAGGATCCGCAGCTAATTTAACTTCTGTAGTAAATTTAACCATGCAACCTCTCTTTCTTTGATCATAAAAAGATATCAAACTAAACTAAAAGTAGAACTAACCGTAAGCATTCATAACACAGAAATGGGGAAAAAAATATATTAACATTGTTTATCAAATATTTACACTGACAAATACTAATAGTCTAACAGTTTTTATCACCTCTCTTTCTTGTATTACTTTTCATTTTTGTTATGCCTCTTCTGCTCTAAGCTTCAGAGAAAAATTAGACTTAATCTCTCTCTAACACCCCCCCCCCCCCCCCCCCCCCCCCCCCCCATTTATTTGTTATTGATGCGTTCTGATATCTCGAATATGTGGCATAAATATGGTACAAAAAAATTGTCAGAGGAGAAGGGCTGTGTAAAAATCGTAAGCAGTCAGATATATTTGTTAACTCTACATATGTATGTAATTATTGTACACATGCTTAGTGATGTTATGTGGATCTAGGAGATGTCAAAAGATATGTTTCATAAATGAATTATTTTATCTTCTTCTTTGATCCTTCTGTGAGAAAACTTATATCAGGAGACCCGATAGCCTTTATTAAAGCTATCGTGCTGTCCATATCTTCTCGTATACCATACAGTTTGTCTTCATTGTGGTTGGATTACTGATTTGAGAATATGAAGTTGGACACATAATGATGGGAGATTAAACATGGAGAACAAATTAAACATTTACAAATACATTTTTCATGTCATTAAATGTGTCTGTGCAGAATGGAGGGAGTTAAATTATGTGATAGAATCACTAATGGGAAGCTTTGGAAAAAACTAATTCCAGTGAATCAGGAGGTGAGAGAAATGTGCTGGTGTTGGATAGGACACGTGTTGAGAAAACCAGTATTACTAGGATGGCATTGCACTGGAACTCATAAAATAATGGAAATAAAGCAAATAAAAAAACATGGATTAAGGAACTAGTGAGTGAAATTAAATGATGGAGAAGATTTTGGGCAAGCTGCCTGTGATACAAGAGCATATGATGACTTGTCATAAGTTGTTTAAGGACCAAAAAACTTGCCAGTTAAGTTTTTTTGGCAGTTTTGTTTTTGCCAAACTTTTAATTACTGCCTTTATATACCACTTTTGAGGTGTAGCCAGAGGGGTCTTTGAGCCTGAGGATTTAGGGCCGCATGGCTAGTACTGTTGCCACGACTGCAGGTGAGGTTTTTTTTTTGCCCCCAACAGAAAAAATCCCCAGCCTTACCAAGGATTCAAACCTGGGTCTCCCATATGAGAGTTCAGTGTTCTAACTGTTTGGCCAGCCGCTCCGTTTGAGGACCTATGCTCCATTATAGAGATATAGGGCTGAAGAAAGATAAACAACTGGAGAATTGTGCTGGCATTGTGGTTAGTGTCTTATTTACCAAGATTGTGGTCCTGGTTCAGTTCCCATCAGTGGCTATATTCATATTTTTTTTCTAGATCGATACAGTTCTATGGTCAGGTCAATCCAGGCATAAAATAAGTTCAACGGAATCTCAGGAGATAAAATTGATTTGTTCTGCGACTTCGTAGGGGGAATAACTCAAACCTGAAACTCTTTTCTCATTAGAATTAATGTAAATAATTGTCATCACCGGAGCCACTATGACTGACTATGACATAACTAATGCATCATGACTTCTGCAGTGGTTTCTTTGCTCAAAGAAGCCTAGTTAAATGTCATTGGTTCTGTTTGCATCTGTGCAGTGTTTAGGAAGTTTGGATATGAATACATTAAGTAGAAATAGCATTTAAGGGAGTTTTCATTTGAACTGTGTTGTCAAATGTTCCTGTAAGCCCAGTGAAAGAGATATTAGGATCACATTATTTTAGGTCAGGGGGAATTATTCTATTTAATTCTTCACTATGTTTATTTTTATTGGTTACTCCCTTTATATATTGTTTTATATTTAACAAAGAAACCAAAAAATGCAGATACATTTTTAAAATTTAAAAATATATTTGTATTAGTAGCCTGTGTTAAATAAATGGTTGTATTTTTAAAGGATTTTTGGGGGAATTCCCATGGGTTCATGACTTTTTCTTAAGCGTTTCTGAAAGGGTTAAAGCTGCCTTGTTTCTCACTAATTTATATGTAAACCCTTTATATTTCTTTTTCAGAGCATGCCATGCAAGAAGAAGTCCCTCTTTCCTCGTCTCCACCCAGAGTGACTTCCCGAACTTCGTGACACTTCCGTTAATTTTAGCATTGCTGTCAGATGGTTCAGAAGTGCATAGAAGCAGACATAAAGGACCAGCCCCAAAAATAAAATCTCCCCCAGAATACAATTCCCTAAGATAACTGGCGTTGAAGAGAAGGAACTATTCATGTGCTCCAGCTATCCATACATCCGTGTTGTGACACCCATCTTATTTATTGTATTTTTAGTGCTGCGCTGATTTGTGGTTGCAATGAGAAACATCGGCAAACAAATTGATTAGGTGATTCGGCACCCATTTTTTTGGTGGCAATAAGAATACCCCTTGAAGCTCATAAAGAAAAAGTAAAGGACTCTTTTTTCAAACCATTAGGCATATTGGGCATACAGTTCTAGACATATATTTTATAAATCAATCGGCACTCAGTGTGGGATGTGGTCAACATCACACCAGCCACCTTTACTTCCCAGGACTTTACCTGGTACCTTTTTTAGGCTGGTTGGTCCCAGAAGCCAGTGTCATTTATGAAAAATATTTGGCTCTCTGAAAATTTGAAGCTACAACCTTTGGGACAGAGATGAGGGTCTAACCGCTTCGCCATCCTGGCTTCATTTGTACATATCATTTTCTCAAGAGTTTTGATGTTACAGGTGAATCATGAGGCCCTTTTGATATACCAGTCTTTTTTTTTTGGGGGGGTCATAAATCTGTCGTATAAAGCTTGTTTGTTAAATCTTATCGTCACGAGTGTTCTTATGTTACATATGTATCATATCAGACCACTTGATTTAAATCTTATTATTCCATGAGTTTTAGCGTTACAAGTGTAACGGTCTTATTCTTTTCGTTCTTCTCAATGTCTTATTGATTGTATTGTATAGCATATTGTGTGTTATACAAGTTGTTAAATCTCATTGTCCTGTTATTGCAGTCATACCGCTTGAGGCATTAGAAAGAGATGGTGTCTTTCACTGAGATCATTAGACTAGCTGAGCCGCATTGTTAAAACTCATTGTGTGTTTTGACAGGCACTCAGAGTCCTTCCATTTGTCTGTCTCAGCTAGGTCTTATATTTGGGGTAGGACTTTTAAATGGGAGCCTCTTGAAAAATCATATGACATCATGTGCATTGTAATGTATAAAACACAAATCATTTACACCACTGTCCAAAGTGCAGAAATTGTGTACATTGATGTACAATGTACAAAACATGTACGGATATCTTGTACATTGATGTACAACATGCTGAAAAATCATTCTAGGGCATATTTTGGGCAAACAGTAATTGTTGTTGAGTAGGTATTTACTGGCAGTTGAGTTTCATCTTCATGTTTACTGGCTATAAACTCCTATGGATGATTCAGGTTGTTCATCCACTTCTAGACTGATCTTGTTACAGGGTTTGAGTTTTGCATGCACACCCGTTTTCCAGATATTGCTTATTTACTTGCAGACTGTTGTTTCTTCTCATCTTAGGCAGATGCACCCATGCTTGAAAGGAAACGCTTTTCGTTAGTTGCCTTTTACAACTTGTTTGTGGAAGGGGGGGGGGGGGGGGGTAGTGGGTCTATTCTCCTTCACCCAAGGTAGCCCTGTAACCAGCACGGGAAGCTAGCAGTTCAGTCAATAGGTGTGTATAAAATGCAACATTTGACAGTTAAAACTAGCTTGCTTTGCGGGGGAAAAATTGTCATGTCCAACCAGCATTCTATAAGGGGGAGTTTTAAGATATAATTGTGACTAGCCATCTGAGCTTTCAAACACTGAGCATTAAGAATACAGTTGGGATACCTGCTCGTTCGAGTACCTCAGTGTTAGTGAAATTGTCTTGCCAATTAATATCATGAATAAGCATTGCATCCGTATGTCCTTTGCCACATTTTTGAAACTTTCGAGGATCTCTCTGCCCTTGGTAGTTTGGAACAATTCAGTTGACAATATTCTTGACTGCAGCATAAATAAATGGTGCAAGGTGACAGTTTCTTTTCTAAAGAAAAGCTACATAGAATACACAGGAATTTTCTTAAAATATATGAATTTAGTTGGACATTTTTTGCACACAAAAGTGGTTAATGATTAGTGGCATAGTTACTCTTTGATAATTGGGGTGTTTCATTCATTGAAGGCATTCATTCACTCAATAAATTTATCTTTCAGTCAATGTATTTCTTATTGATTGTATGCATTTGTCATTCATTCCAAGCATTTCTGTTTAATTCAGTGTATTTCTCGTTCATTCGAATCACTTCTGTTTCATCAGTGTATTTTCTCATTCATTCTAAGCATTTCTCTTTCATTCGGTGACTTTCTCATTCACTCAAAGCATTTCTCTTTTATTCAATGTATTTCTCATTCACGAAGCATATCCCTTTCATTTAATGTAATTCTTATCCAGATGTGTTGTATTCTTTGCTAGTCGTGGTGTCTGTATATATCTAGCTTCTGTCTGTCATAACTGCTGATTGACAGCATATATCTATTTCTAGCTGGTATGTGTCTGTCTATCAGCTGTCTGTCAACAGCTTTTTGTTATATCATGTCAGCACATCAGCTGGTGCATAATATTGGAGACTCTAGGAAAGGGCTATTCAACTGGCGGCCTGTGGGCCAAATATGGCTAGCAGAGTCCTAGCAAGCGGACCACGGATCACCTGCCAAGTGTTTTAAATAACTCTGTATGCTGGAGCTCAGGCTTCTGGCTATCGGTGATCAGTATTTCCCAAAAGTTTGGCCCTTGAGGAAACTTAGTTGAATAGCCCTGCTCTTGGGTGTGGAGAGCCATCATCACTGATGCCATCATCAGTGAACGATGATGATTATTATTTTAGTGATGTGTCGTCACTCTGGCCTCTGACCATCTGCTGGTGTTTGCGCAACATTGATACCTGTGTGTTGATTTTGGAGTTTGTCTGTTATCTAATTGCTGTCCTTTTCTATTGTATCTTTCTTCTCATTGTTGACATTTATCTGTTGATTTTAGTGTCCATTTGTTATTTAATGCCTGTCTATTTTTGTTGTATCTATTTCCTCATTGCTGGAGTTTGTCTGCTGATGTTGGTGTTCATTGTCTTATGTCTGTCCAAACATGTCTGCTTCTCACTGCTGGTGATATGAATTTAGTATTGACCAGATATTGTAATTTAATTTTATAGAATAAATTTTCACTTTGTCTGGGCTATAGATGTCTACTTTGTCTGTCTATGGATAGCCATCTTGTCTAGTTTATAGATATTTGCTTTGTTTGGTCTATAATAGTCCACTTTGCCTGATCTAAGGGTAGCCATCAGGTCTGGTCTCATGATGTCCATTTTACGTGCTCTAAAGATATTCATCAGGTCTGGTCTATAGATGTCCATTTGGTCTATAGATGTCCATTTGGTCTGTAGATATCCACTTGGTCTATAGATGTTCACTTTACATTTAATTGACCACTCTCGATCTTTAAATGTCTACTTTATTGGCCAGTAGCTGTCTGCTTTGTCTGATTTATAGGTGTCCACTTTGTTCTATAGCTGTAGTAAATGGTAGCAAACATTGCATGTGGGTTTGTTGCACTGCTTGTAGGAGTGTGCAGTCTTATTTGTCAATAGATCTTACTGTTTTTTTCCATGGAATTTTTGATGAAATGTCTGTATTTGTCAACGACACAATTCAGTATTGTGTATTTTATAGGAAGATGTCAGTATTTGTAGATAACATTTCAGGTTTTATGGAATTTGTCATAAATGTCAATATTTATAAAAGCTGGTGGCTAATTTGCTGTCTGAAATTTGACATCAATTTCAATAAATATTGATACCACTTGTATTATATCATTGTGCTGATTTATTGTCTTAACAATAGAAGAGAACTGTGTGCACTGTAAAACTGATTATTATCCGAGTAAAACAGTTATCATATTTACTTACTTCACGGTTGTGTGAGTATGTACGAGGGAAGTCAATAACTAAGTCACAAATGGTTGTGGGATGGCAGGAAAATGTAATTAGTGGTTTCTTAAGGTGTCATTAGGTGGCAGCAACATCGAACTTTATGTCTCCGTTCGTTAGGTGGCACTAGGTGTTGCATGTGCATTCACAACACAGAAACAAAATGGCGACTGTACCTTTAAAGAAAAAATTTTCTGTTGCGCATTTGGGAGTGGGGGGAGGCAAAAAGGCTGCCTGCAAATGACATTCATAAGAAATTGCTTCCTGTTTATGCTGACAAATGTTAATTCCAAAAAAGCAGGGCATAACTTGGTAAACAATATTTTCTTAAGGACACTGTAAAATTGTTGATGAAGTCCGATCTGGACGCTTCCGTACAGTGGGTGGAGGAGATGATTAGAGGTGACAGGCGAGTAACGGTTGACTCTGTAGCAGCTGCTATAGGTTGATCACAAGCATACAACATAATGCATGATTGATTCCATTGAAAACCCACCTTGGCGGGTGATATTTTGCGAAGGATACAGCAGTTGAAAATGAAGTGAAAATGTGGTTTTGAAAACAGAGCATGCGGTTCTAAGCAGCAGGTTTGGGAGAACTGAAAAGGGATGGAACAAGTGCATCAATGTTAGTGGAAATTGTGTTGAAAAAATAAATGGACAGCGTGTGTGTAAAAATAAACGGTTTTCAAGTTATCATCTTTATGTTTTTTTTTTTTTTTAAATAACCATTTGTGACTTACTAATTGACTTTCCCTCATCCACTTTATAAAAAATATAGATCTTGACTGCCCTTGGGGCTGATGCCAGTTTTTTTTCTCCTAAAAGATACCAAAGCACACCAAACGATACCAAATTTTATTTTAAATTAAAGACCTGTTGAAGCATCTTTTAAAAAAAAAACATTAACAATATTTATACATTTCTAAAACATACCAAAACATTGGGTGTGGTACCTAAAATACAGTTTTGCTCAGCATAGGTCAAAAAGTACCAAATTGGAACAAAATACCAACTTCAGCAGGCCTGTTTGGCTACATCTGCCTGCTTTATGAAAGCACTATTGGAACAAAGGCGGCGTCCGTGGCTTAGGCGTAGCGA